CCCCAAAACCCCAAAACCCCAAAACCCCAAAACCCCAAAACCCCAAAATGGGCAATTCATGCTGAAAAAATAAAACTTTTACAAGTACGGTCTCCTACTCACATTCAGAGGAAGAAACTTCTTACACTTATAAGATATCCAAAAACAAGAAGAAGAAGAAGAGACGTAGAGAAGAAGAAGTAAGATCTGTGCTGAACAGGCTGACTGTGTAGAAGGGAGACATGCAAGAGGAGCTTGAGAAGAGGCAAGGAGAGGAAGGAAAAGTGGGTGAAGGTGTAAGTGGGATAGAGGGATTTTGAGGGTTTAGAGTAGTGGGTTTGGGTAGGATTAAGGGAGGTGAAGGGGGTTGGATTGACTGCTTGGATGGTGGAGAGGCGTCTGTTGCTTAGTTATAGCTTGCTTTAGGAAATATTACTTAAGAGGGACCGTGATTAAGCTATCCACAATTTTGAATACAAAGATTTTTAGTTTATAGTTAGTTAGGAAAGTCATTATAGCCTCAAAAATAGCAAAACCTAAATCTATTTTAGCTTACGTACTCCAAAAAGTCTTTTTCTTACTTTATGACACCTTTCACCAGAAAATTTTTGAGCTAAAATTCTTGATTTCCATTGATTTTAAACAAAAAAGATAATTATTAAGATTACTATCTTCATCAACAATTTTTGAGAATTTCAATATAATCTAGGTTACAAATGAAAGAAACTACTCATCCGTGAAAATTGTCAAGAGTAGGACTTATCTGACCTGTAGGAGTTGCCACTAGAGAATATGTAGTTGGGTATGATACTGAGACGACTAGGAAAAGAAATCATGGATTTGTACCACTTCCCCACTACCTCATATAGGTCTGCTACGAACAAGATGGATGGGGCAGCGACCATCATGAACCCTTCAAAGAAGAAAGCATCCAAGAAGAAAGGATCGAAATAGAGGTAAGCCCGAAGAGGTCAGCAAGAATAAGCTGTAGGAGATTTAGGATTAGTGGGACCTGAGAGGCAGAAGGAGTATAAAAATTGGACACTACTACAGAGAAATTTTTTTCATAGATCTAAACCGAAGTCTCCATTGTATTTTCCTCATTTCAGGCATTCATGACCTGTTATGAACTCTTAGCCTTCTACATGTCTGAGAACCTCAATATGACTTGCTTATCAATAGACGGAAAGACCTTTTATCCATAAATTCTTATGAACTTCAGCAATTTGCAGTTAAAATTATTTGGATACACTTTAACAAAATTTGAGAAAATTATGATATATTTTCACATAAAATGAGGAAATAGTTCCTTTAACATTTGTACAAAGATACCAATAAGCTAGTAAATCTTCTCTTTTAAAGCTTAGAATTTATTTAGAACCTTAAAAAATGTCGCTGAGATTTTTGGCACCACGAAACTTACTAAATTTGCTCTAATCATCACAAATCTAGTCTAAAGACTATTTTTAAATAAAGTGTTATCTCTAAATTTCCCCTGTACAAGACCATGGAAAGATTTAAGTAGTCTGAATATGCTCTATAATGCCTTGAAGGCTTGGTAATATCTTCTCATAATTATATCTGAACTCTAACTCATTTCTGAGGTAATTTATTGCTGACTCCTCTCTTTACATAGAATGCTTACAACGCTATTATCTCAGTTAATATACAATTTATGCCAATTCTTAACAATTGTGATAGGAGGAAAGTGACCTTCAATACGAAGGAGAGATTATCCATAAGAGAAAGAAGAAGGTAAGTTACTGTTATTAGACCAAATAGGACCCTAAAGGAATAAATCCACAACAGTATTTTCTTATATCAAGGGATTAATAGTTGACTCCATATCAGTTATTTATAAGAGAAATGTAATTAATGGTTAATAAATTAGAAGCTTTAGTTAAAGTTTGAGATTTGAAAAGTTAGGAAGATATTTGGAACCAGGAGTTCATGGTATATTATCTCAGACATTTAAAATGTGAAGATAGAATTTAGGATGAGAGGATATGAATAGAAAACATTTAAATGAGCTATGGGATGTAGTTAGAGTTAATATTGCACCCTAACACTAACAAGGTTTAGCTTACCATTTTGGATAACATTGATAGTATTATTAATATGAGATAGATTATTTATTCTTTATACAGGAAAAAATTCTCATGAAAAATCCAAACATTATTGGTAACTGGAATCAGCTTTACAAGATCTTAGTCAAAAAGATTGAACTATCTAAAGCTTTCAAAGTATACTTTCCAAACAAAAAACTAATAGAAAATAACGAGTATGGCTTTATCTCACAAATTAGGTCTCTGAAACATCATGTGAATAATTTTGAGAATAGAACTACAAGATCTATCTGTAATTATGTCTAATTATTATAGTGAGACATTTTAACATTTATCCTGAAAATTCCCCCAAAAAGACCTACAATGCTCTTTTTAAAAAAGTTAAAGAAGAAATCATTAAAATAATCCAGAGAATGATCATAGACGAAGAGCCAAAGCCAACGCCAGAGAAACTCAAGGAATTAATCATAAACAAGATAGAGCTTAAAAAATGCCCTAGCTACATTTCTGATCCACTCATTTCTTCTCTTAAAAAATCCAAAACCTCATCTACTATAGAAAGGTCAGGTTGCCGTGATCTTTCTCTTCTTACCCAACTCCTTCCATCTTCCGATGACGAGGACCCAGACGATCTGAAGACCCCCAGGAGCAGTGAAAACTCTGAAGAAAGTAAGAGGCTACTAAAACCTGCCTTGTTAATTCTGTAGGTCCCAAAGAATGGGAACGTAAGATGATGAAATAGAGAAAAGGAACAGGAGGAAGAGGAAAAGAAGGAATAAGAGTTTTTGATAAGTGGGTTTAGTGACACTGGATCTTTGGGAGTGTTTGGGATTGGTCAGGGTTGGGAGGATGGGTTTAAGAGAATATTTTGAATAGAGATAGATGTAAGAATGGTGGAGGTTTTATCTTCCTTTCTCTTTTAGTATTTGTAATCTCTTGATATCTTTTAGATTCTCTAGGAAGAATTTAAGCACCCAAGAATTTACACTATACACTTTGTCACTATTCATAGATTACACTATAATATGAGTATATTTCAAATCTTCAGATCTTATAAATTCTCTAAAATTAGAAGAAGGATTTTTATATTAAATTTAATAAAAATGATACTGATTCAGTCTTAGAGGAATACTGTGGGGTTTTGGGGTTTTGGGGTTTTGGGG